CCCCAGGCGTCCGCAATGACAGGCTGGATTGGTGGGGGGGTCCAGCAAAGCAGCCGCTGGACCCCCCCAGCAGACCAGGGAGACCGGAGCAGCTTTTCTCGCCCCGAAGGACACGGGTGGCAGACCCGCCGCCCGTGAGCTCCGGGGCGAGAAAAGCCCGGTTCGTATGTGCGGATCCGACATAAGTCGGATCCGCGTAAGTCGGGGACTGCCTGTACTTCTTCAGGTGAAAGAAAAAGAAGTGTCTCCTTGCCTTCTGCTTATACTTACAAGCTCACCGTAGGGCTTGAGACAGTAGAACCCACATTACTTGTTTTTACCCACATGTGCTCCTTTTCTGTTGATGTCTTATGTAAATGGGGCTTCCACTGCATTGGTTTACAATGTTTAATTTACATTTGATAGAGATATACACAATTACCTCCTGATTAAAGAAACCTGTTTCTTTGTTTCATTGGTGACAGACTTCAAAACATCAGTACATATATCATGCAACAATTACAAGAATCAGTACAACATCAGCTTTTTAATTAAAAACCTCATGACATATTTTTGGATAAACACCTGCAATCCAGTATGCTAGGTATTGCTAGGTGTGGCTTTGCCAATAGGCATTCTGGGGTTCTTCAAGTCACAGTAAGTTCTTAGAAACTGATGATATTTGTGACTATCAGTGATAAGAAGTAGGAACGTATGAGATTTGCTTCCATGAAATGTTTCCCTCAGCTATGGTAGTTTAGGATTTTTGTGGAGCAATTTTCAACATGGAGACACTGAAAATTGAGGTTTTATATCTGAGATTCCAAACTACAACAAGTAAATTATTTCAATTTTAAGTTCTACCAATAACGTGTTGACAGCAGTTCCTTATACTACCACTCACTAATTAGGAATGTAAAATCCCATTTAGTTGGATAACCAGTTAAACATGATGTTTATTTACCTTACTAAAGGAGGGGGCCAGTGAAGGGGTTGTCCCATGACAGCCGCAGGCAGGGGCTGCCCCTGCCTGTGATGCGCCTGGGCCCACCACAGACAGGGCCGGACTGAAGCAGCCCCTCCATGGATGAGCAGAGCAGCCCCTGCCAGCCCCCTCCCACAGTAGGCAAAGAGCTGCTCCAGCCTCCACTGGTTACCGGTACTGGTAAGCATCACCCATTAAGGTTAACCTTTCACATCCCTATTACTGGATATTAAGTTCTCTCAAAACATGTCATTTTTACCCAGACTAATTTGACATTGAGAGCAGCAGAAGTGAAAAAAGTACATCTGAAAGAAACTAGTGTCTTGAACTTACACCTTTCTTATCAGAATCAATGTTCCCTGTAAGCTGTGTGGTCACTCAGAAGAGATTCAAACATCACCCTGCTGATTAGCTAGGCTTTTTTGTTTCTACTGGTGGTGCACATTCACACATGCTTTGGTGCACATAATAAATTATTCTGTGCATGGAAGAAAAAGATCAGCTGGAACCTTGACAAGGATCTCTAAGCACTTCACCAAAATTAATGAAGCCTAACATCATACAGATTTGTGCATGAAAACATTTTATGTACAGGAACTCAGAGACCAGGTAGTGAAGTGATTTCCTACTGCCCAACATACAGACAGTGGCAGAGGTGGGGACAGAAGCCAGGAAATCTGACATTCAGTGCCCCACCCAAAATCACCAAACCACACCAGCCTAACTAGTCACTTTACTTAAAAGAGCAATAATTTCAACAATGGGCTGTTCACTTAGATGAACGAAGCCATATTCAAACTAGAAATTCAGTTGCTGAAGCAAGCAAAGTCTCCTTACCCATCGTGACAGTGTTTGAGGTTGCTATCTGCAAACCCCTCAAGGTCGACTCAGGTGGGAAATGTATAATTTGATATGCTGAACCAACCAAGCCTACAAAAGAGAAGACAGTTTTAATGAGCAGCAATTCAGCCTGTGCAGAAGCACAACCTGAATGCAGGTGCCATGAGAACAAAACATGCTTGTTTATTATGGTGCTTGGCCTACAGGACACAGTGTACACCAGAAGCCTCCCCCCACTTCTGTTATTATCAGTGTAATGGACAAGAGACTACAGTTGAAATCTTAGCCTTAAGTCAAGGGTAGTATTGCCACTGAATTCAATAGAACCAGTATTTCACCCTAATCAACTAAAGCCCAATGTTACTCATTGTTTGTGCTGTATATCAAGCAATATGAAGGTGCAATAGTAAAGCTAGAAAACAGAAATATTTGCATTCAAAAGGTCTGTCATCTCTGCACTGAAGCTCAAGATTTACCTAGACTAGCAGTGCAGCCACATCTTTGATCTTCCACCAAAAGAAAGATAAGAATGGCTGAGTTATACTGTGGGTACAGTGCAATTTAAAGGATTTGACTGTAATTGGGTTTCTAACCCTTTTTTGTTTCTTTCTAATGCATTAAG